CTACATAATATGTATTTTTGCAATCGTATTTTTTAGTCTTTTATGTGTAGATAGATTTGTGGAACCNAGCCTTAAGTCTCTAACTACATAATATGTATTTTTGCAATCGTATTTTTTTTTTGTTTTTTATGTGTAGAGATTTGTGGAACAATTCTCGTACAATTGTCTTTTCCGGTTTTTATACATGTACAAAATAAAAACTCAATATGCCCATTTTTGGTGGCAAGTGGCAGCGTGCCACTTTAATAGCCNAGATTTGTGGAACCATTCTCGTACAATTGTCTTTTCCGGTTTTTATACATGTACAAAATAAAAACTCAATATGCCCATTTTTGGTGGCAAGTGGCAGCGTGCCACTTTAATAGCCCATATATGAATACATATAAGATGCGGCAGCATAAATAACGCGCCTATTTTACCAAACAGTTTCATTCAAGCGGTTCGCTTAGTGACCAGTGCGGCACAGTGGCTTCGGGTTGGAGAAAATGTAGTCGAAAATTGCACAATTTTTTTTCAAAGTCTTAAAAGTAGACAAATTAAAGTTACCGAATGTAGGTGTTNAGTGGCTTCGGGTTGGAGAAAATGTAGTCGAAAATTGCACAATTTTTTTTTTAAGTCTTAATAGTAAACAAAAATAAAGTTACCGAATGTAGGTGTCACCGAAAAATGTAAGAAATTGACTTGCAAAAATACTTTAGACTCAAGGGCTTACGGCAGTCTTGTGTTCGGTACGGCCTAAAGGCTATGCTAGGTTTTCAGATAATGTTTTGCATTCCAGGTTTATCTAGATTATTAAATTAAATTAAATTAAACATCATAATATTGGTGTCAAATGGAAATTATTTTAAAAATCTGCAATCAGAAAATATTTTGGAAAATGTATTTAATTTATTATTTAGAAAATTAAGATAAGTAAATAAATAGTATGGGTAATAAAGCAAAGCTCTTAAACAATTCAACGTCTATATGTATTTATAAGAAATGTTATCCCTTATTTTATCAGTTTAAGGTTGCCACTTACTTTCGATTCTACACAATTTAACAAAAAAAAAATATTAGTATGGATGTGAAATGAAAGGTATTGTTGAGAACTTTAATGCCGAAATATTTTTGGTGAGGGTTGCAACGTTTTTTTAATTATAAAAATTTTAAGCTTTTCAATTTCAACGGGCTATCTAAATTACCATTATTTGAAAGCCAAACCTTGATCTCTTATTTAGTTTTTAAAAACTTTGAAACAGGACCGAAAATATGCAATAAATACAATGATTTTTATTTTTAAATAATTTAATTTTTTTTCGGTCAAATTTAATCGTTATTTTGTGATTTTAAATTTTTCGACCAAAACACAGGAAACACAACACAACAAACACTATATAAATACCCTTTTCAAACTATATACAACAATTATAAAAATTCGACAAATTTTCACCAAATTTTTAAGCTCTTTATTCAGAATTTTTACAAAAAGTTTTGGTATGCAATTTTGTAGCCGATTCAATTTATAGTATAATAAAGTGCAAGTTTCAAGTGGCTAGAAAATACCGTTGATTTTACGATTTTTTTTTTGTATACGTATGTAAAAAAAATTGTCGCGTACATTTTGTATGGGAAAAAATGCGTGACACCGTCAGCAAAAAAAATTCTTAAATATCAACGGTATTTTCTAAAAATTCTGAATAACAAATTTGGTGAAAATTTGTCGAATTTTTATAATTGTTGTGTTAAGTTTGAAAAGGCAAATTATATGGTGTTTGTTGTATAACTGACCAGGCTTTTATAAAAAAAAAATATTAAACATAAAATAAGCCATGGAAATATAGCCAAAACTCTTCAAAGTAAGGCGACTCTATTATTTTCGCCGCCAGTGTACATATTTTCGAAGGATTTTGCGCTGAATCCGAATCTGGTCGTATAAAAGTTTTCAAAAAATCTTCGTTTCAGTTATAATAAGTGTAACGTTTGAAGGCATACAGTTTTGAATTTTCTTCTTAAAATGGTTTAAGATTTTGGTGCAACACTTCTTAGAACCATTGGCCATATAATAATATAACGGTTTTTTTTTTTTTGTTTTTTTTTATCGGCCAATTTTTTCGTTGGTTTTTGCCGCTATTGCTTTTTTGCTGTTCCGCTGTCCATATTTGTTTGGGTTTTTACTTCCATAAAAGTCGCCTCCTGGCAACGATTTTTCGCAGTTACGCGTATCGTACGAGCCTACTTCATATACCCACACAAATATACTTACTTGAATTGAAGCATCGACTGTGAAGTGATCATGACCATGACTTTGTGAATGTATCCGTTTAACTGAATGTGTATTTGTTATATTGACTTATGCATACTCGTTTTGACTATAAAAGCTTACAATTATGCGCATATTGACGTATTATTTTCATGCATGCAAACAAACATACATATGTACATTTATGATAGGAAAATATAAAACATAATTGTGTTGGTGTTGTTGCTTTTCTTCTATGACCATAACAGCATTTGTTGCTCTATGATCTGGCACATTTGGCGCACTTGTTGTATTGGCATTTGGCCTGCCTGTTTTTCCTTGGTCCATTGTTTGTAAATGAAGTGGTTTTAAAGCATTTTTTAGTGAAACCTATTAGCCATTCTACGATGTTAGATATATTTAAAAAATCTTTTTTTAACTTCTAGACGATCATTTAGGGGAGGGTGTGTGTAGTGCAATCTCAACCGAAACAGAATCATTGAGTGTTTATGTAAAATTGGAACCGTTGAACTAAAAAACAGTTACTTACTTATAATGATTAAAGCAAATTATCTAAGAACAGCCATTTGCAGCAAATTCACATTTCTTCTCTTTCGTAATTTTGTATCAGTTACGTTCAAAGCAGATAGACAAAATGTTACGCAGCGTTGGAAGTTGAAACGGCAAAGAGAATTACCACAGCACCATTTATTTTTATTTTTATTTTTTTAAATATGTTTTGCCATTAATTTTAGTAATCATTTTTAAACTCTCAATCTTCGTAAAATTAAGCCACACATTCACTTACCTCACCGCTCCACATCGCTAAAATTAATTGATTTAATTTCTAATTTATTTCGATGAAGATTAATGGTTTTTTGTTGTTTTCCATTTCGTTTCATTTGCTATTGATCTACTGATCTTTTAAGCTTCTTAGTTTCTGTGTGCACTGAAGCTGGATGAATTATGTATAAACAATAGTTTTGGAGGTCTTTGAGGTGAATTATTGCATTCGTATTTATCTACCTATGGATTCCAATGTCAAAGTTCACTGTTTTGTTTGCATTCGATCTTTTATTTTTAAGTAATGGATCATGGAATTTTAATTTGACAGCAACGAACTCTTGGTGATTCTCTTTTTCTTAGCTCAAATTTATCCCAGAGTTTGGATCGCCCTTCCAGCAATGAGTTTTATATGTGTTCTAGAGCACAAAGACACCACCTCTACGCTGCAAATGAGTTAGCAGAAAAGAGGGTGACAGGTAATATGATCAACGGAAATAAGGTCAATTGACTTTATTTCCCACCCAACCCTGGAAAATTCAACGCGTTTATCAAGAGGACATTTCCAAATAAATATTTTTTAAAAGAAAGCTTTTTTTAACCTTCTCTCGTTTGATACCCATATTAATTTGTATAACCTTTTAAGTAAATTGTATTTGAATTTCTTAACAGGTGGCAACACTTTTTAAAATATTAAGCTGCCGTTGTTTGAAACCCACATTGTTGTAACATTTTATCTAACTTTTATAAATAAATAGTTGATTTTATCTTTTGAAAAAAGTGGCAATCCCCTTCAAAAAATATACTGCATGTTAATTTTCTATATCGCCCTAAGTTTTTAGGTTCTTTTTAACCGACTTCCAAGAAAGCAGGAGGTCATCAGTTCGTCGGAATATTTTTTATTTTTTTATTTTTTATGTATGTTACCGCATAACTTTGGACCACGTCAACCGATTTCGATTTGCATCGGAAAGGTAGTGTCTCAGAGGTGGTCCAATACTAATATGGTTTAGATCCGATCATTGGATCATGATATATATATATATATATTTTTTACATTAGAATTGAAGTCGGTTTTGCTTTTTGCTTAAAAATTACTTGTTAGCAAATATTTTGGCATGGAAATATCTACACTACCACTGCATGATTAAACATAGCTCAATCACAGCATCATAAATATTTAACTACTATCATAAATTTTTAAATGTTCATAGTAATAATGATTTTTTTTATTTATTCTCTTTGCAGGTAAGTTACACAATATACAATTTACGTTGATTGTCAAGTTTAGCCTTGAAAGTGCAACAAAATGCGGCAGCTAAGTAAGAAAAGTTTATTAAAAAACATTTTATTTACATATCTCATTTAAAAAACGTCCATATTTGTTTGTTTGTAATCATATCTGCAGGGTTTATAAACTCTGCTAAGCATTGAACTGGCAATTCACAGGCAATGGAGTAGCCATTCGGCTAAAGAGGGGGGTGGAGCAGGAGAGTTTTGTGTTAATAAGCAGCGCGTGCAGTTGGGCGGACTAAAATGCACTTCGAGTCACGCGCTATGTATCCACTGGCAACACAAACCGTCAGTGGCAGTGTTGATTTCAAAGGAAAATATTTGCATTTTTCATTTAGGATATGCTCGGTAATCCTTTTTTCTCTTCATATAGCAATTCGTTGTGAAAGAGGGTGGTTTTTCTGCAGTCGACTTACATACTTACCTTACTACCTGCTTGGGGCCAAAAAAAAGTTATTCGCATTGTTTGCAAACGTGCCGGAATTGTATTACCAAAATATTTGCAAAGCTCAACAATTTCGCCCTCAGGTGAAATATGTAGAAAAAAGGGGTAAAACTTTAAAACAAACAAAAAAACCAGTAGAAACAAGCTGAGCGAAATATCATCCAAGAATTTCTGCATGCTTTGTTTTTCAAAAAAAAAAAAAAACAAAAAAACAACTACTTGGTTTCGCATTTAACAGCTATTCATTTTCACTTTACAATTTCAACCTCTAAAGCTTTGTAAACTACGGACGTTCTCCCCTATGTATTTGTCCATTGCTTCTATTTCATACTTAACCCCCGAAGAATCGTTTAATTCTACCGGAGGTTAATTTAACAAGTTTAAAATCTTGTCAACTTGTGCTTGAATCCCTTGATTTTGCTCGGTAGTGGTTACTTCATCGCCCAACAACGGTGGTGGTGGCGGTTGTGCTGATGGCGTTGTATCGAACGGTGGCAATGGTGGCGCTTCGGTGGTCGTTGTTGTAGTACTTGTAGTTGTCGTGGTGGATGTGGAACTGGTGCTACTACTTGCTGTTGTACTTATTGCTGGCGCGACTGTAGGAGGAGGGCGTGGTTTGACCGTGCCCTCCAGACAACTTTGCAGATAGTTGTAGTTGTTAGCCGTATCGGTTACATATCGTCGTTCGGCAGCGTTACAACATTGTTCATGATGCAAATCGATTAGGCGATAACGTTCTTGCAATACGGTGGCATATTGCGAGGCATTGCCTGAAATGCTGTATGTGGATTTGGTATTGTCTGTGCCCTGTGGAAAGGAGAAGAACTTCGTTAATATACAAATAAGTGCATAGATGGGTATGGAAAGGAGATATAAGCGGCGTCAAAATAGACCTTAAAATAGAAAAAATAAAAAAATAAAATAGCTTCAAAATTATAAAAAATATCGGAAGAATTTTTTTCCTGCGTGTTGTATGAACTAGGGTTTTATAGGGTTTCCCTAAAGTCGAGAAATGAAAAAAATATGGAAAATACATCGCCATACAATTTTTTAAAGCTTTTTAAAGCTAGTTTGGCTATTTTAAGGATATTCTATAATTTTTTCGATAAGGCGGATTCTGCTGGAAATATGCAAAACCGCATTTCTATTGCTTAAATCGGTTTCTAAGGCACTCAAGAATATACACTGCGAGTAGGACAAGTATTGTCAACCTTCTTACTCCACGGCAGTCCTAAGCTTTTAAGAAATTCCGTAGATTGATTGTTGAAAGCGAGTGCACATAAGTTTTGGCTCCTGGCTTTATAAAACTGTTGTTGTAAACATTTTAACCCCCTAAGTCTTACCACAACGGGTCTTTTTGCACTTATTTTAAAGGTGTTTAGTGTTTTTTTTTTCATTAGATAGACGGTAAAAATGCTCTATAAAAATGTAAAGAAAAAAGATAAAATTATCCGACTAAACGTAAATGTTCTATTGGTACTTTTCCCACCTACGGGGTCCTACCATTATTATTGTTGGGAATAAAGCACTGCGAACTCAAGATCTTTTGTGCCCCTTCATGGATTTATAGTGTGTCTATTAAGCCACTATCCAAAAGAAACTTTAGTATGGAGCCTAAATCTACGGATTTCACTTCGCCCTCGGTTATTAGATGTTTACCCAGGTGTATTTTGCGTTTGTGCAACATTGCAGGACACCCTTCTAGGATGTGCTGTGCAGTCTCGATATCCATCCTGCAAAATTTCCAGTTTAGTCAGCCTGTAATGTCATGTCAGGATTCCCGTAACAATTCTTAAGTTATTCTTGGATAGGCTCATACATTCCTTAAAGTGTTTTTGGTTATATCGTCACTAGATACGAATAAAGGCGAGAGCTCAAAAGTTGACGGCGAAGAAAGACGCGTAAACTGAATGATGCTGAAGTGACAGTCCTTGTCCAAGTATAAGTCTATGATTACGCGTCTTTCTTCACCGAAGTTTTCTTAAGCGGCTTTTTTCGTAAATTTTTTACGCGTCTTTTTTTCGTCGCCGAAACACAAGCGCGCCTTTATTCGTGTCTAGTTACGATATGTTCCTAAAAGTGCTTTGGACTGCTCTAGACCTGCTAGATTATCCCAGTAGTAGATTATCCCATTTGCCAAATTCGACTACTTTCTTAAACCCTATTTCATCAGCTGCCTTCAGATTCGGAAGAAAAGTCTACGCCGAAAAGAGACTAATCCTCGACCTGTTATGGAATAGAATTACACAGATTATGTGTTCCACAGCCTCCGCATTCGTCAATTCAAGTTTAATCATTGGTAAGAGCCGTACAGTGGTCTGTTAATATACTAATCAGTGTCCTAGCGTCCTTGTACAGGAGAAAGCGATAGCGATAAGTCCCAGACACAGTCCAGAATCTTTTAGCATCATGTATCCTGCGCCACAGATGATTTCTACGTCCACTTCTCCACATTGAGCCGCCTCGACTGTTTGCCATGGAGAGTCACTCGCAACAAGATTAGGTCTTAACCAGTTCAGAATCCTTTGTTTTCTAGTGAAGAGTATCTACGATTTACATACATATATGAGCAAATCTCAAGAATTGTTTCATGTACATCGAAAATGGTGGCACACCTATTTTAGAAAATGCATTTTTTTCAGTTTTGTACAAAGAACAAGATTCCGTCGCGAAATTGTATTTAAATAAAAACCTGAAAGAGATATACTAGATATACAGTATTCCTTATGCACATACATATATATTTCTTTCTTCATGTATATGACAATTTTAGAATGAATTTCGAGTGTGCCAAATAAAAATTGTAAAAATGGAATTTTAGTTTCTCAAATCATAGTTATCTTTTACTCATTTTAATTTTTTTTTCATTTGGTGACAAATTTATTAACCGACTTCACAAACAGGAGAAGGTTATCAATTCGACGGAATATTTTTTATTATCTGCCGAGAGAAAGAAGTGACACTAAAAAAACGACCCGTGGGATTTGTTCTCTTAATGCTAAGCCCTACTTTGGTTGTCCGTAGGTGTATGTACATTTGTCTCGCAGTATTTGGCTCCTGAGTGAGCTGAGTGTGGACGGACACTTCGCGCTTGCTATCAGGAGACGCTAGGTATTCCGGGAAAAAACACATACGAGCCAACGTTTCTGTGGTTCTGACGAGCCACTAACATCTACATATCTAGATCCAGACATTTTTGAATAACTAAAACAACTGGGCTAGACTAAATTCATGGACCAAACATAATAATACCAGTAGCATTTTAACCGGTACGACCTATGGTTCATTTAATCAATCAAAGTACGGATGCCCAATAATTCCGAGAAATTTGATTGCGACTCTGAGACCATTCTTGTCCTTGCAATGTATTATAAGCCTCATACTACATGCACACTACTTTTCACATTTTTTAACGAACGCAACTCCCTTGAATATTCAAATTTACTCACAATTTTCGTATGACAATTGAACAGCTCCAATGTGTTGTTCAAGTCGTTACACGTACGTAGACTGCTACAGACCGCCTCTGAAGCCTCGACAATTTCACGACGCTCCAACACTGAATCGCTATCAATTTGTTTGCGTTCCTCGCTCGCTTCGAGCAGGCAACTTTTGTATTTTCGACCGTAGGCCTCGCCGATGGCACTCGAATACGCTATGTAATCGGTGAAACAGGCGACTGACACCTGTGGATTCAGCGCCGTAATTCGCGAGGTGAATAGTAAACGTACCAAACCCTTTTGGGATGGCAGTGCTGCGTTGGGTGGCAGTTGTGACTGCGCCAATTGCAGGCCGGCGGCCAAGAGTAGCAGTGCAACTGCTAGTTGGTACATGTTGACTCCTTAGTAGTTTGCTTTTACGCAGGTTTACTATTCGTTCGGTATTAGTTGGCTCCAACTCGATTGTGTAAGGCTCCAAATTTAGGGGCTAAAGAAAACTTTTAAAATTTTAATGCTATTGTTTCTGCGACGAGTTGCGTCTCGTCGTTGCCGAATTTCGCAAAACTATGTGCGCCGATAAGTTGGTTGATGATATTTTATATTAGTGTCTGAAATATTTTGCATTTTGTCTACTCTTATCTGGTATATTATCTGGGCCACAATGAGTTGGTCAATAAACGGCAGCAACATCAAATTCCACACCCGTAACAGCAACGAATAGACGGACGGACGCATGTTCTTCTTTGCGACTTGATTGCTTTATCTGGCGCGTCGCTCAATGATCAAAACACTACGAGGGTGGGGTGAGGGAAAAAGTGGTTCGTGAAAAAAGTGCTATCCTCTTTGGAGAAACGCCTATTTATTGCTTAACTTCTAGCCAAAGATGTTTAAAATACTTGTAAAATAATATTTAAATACCAACTACAAATACTTTAGCTTCGATTTCGATAGTAACTTCACTGAACCTTCTTACATGGACCTAAAAATCGTAAACCCACCCTCGTACATTTATGTATTTACATTAGTGTGCCTCACAAAAAATATGCGGGTTTTTTATCGAAATTATAAAACTTATTATATTTTAAGAATTTCGCCAAAATACTTCGGAAAATATTAAAATTTATCTAAGCTAGATTGATTTAAAAATACTTCCTAAAATCTCATTATTATGACTCAGTTAATAACATTTTAAAAAATATTTATGCAGACCTTTAAAGCTTAAACTCTTTTATCATCTGAGTTGATTTTTGGAAAAATATTTTTAAAAACGAATTTTATATATAAAAAAACTCGATATTTGGAGGTATTTTCAAATCGGACCAGATCACGGGTATCTTAATATTTTCCCGAAATATTTTGGCGAAAGTTTAAAAATATATTAAAATTTTATAACTCCGTTTGAAAAATAGTACAGATCCGTTTTTGTAGGAGAGTGATGCATCCTAATATACATACATACATACATGTGTTCCATTATTTATCTAATTGTGCTTGTTTGCGGTCTTCAAAATTCTTTTTTATTTTGTACTATGTTGCGGTTTTTTGCAGATCATCAAAATCCTGGCATTCTAACGTTATTAGCACAGCACCCGCACAATAACTTCACAAACGTGCGTAATTATTTTTCAATATTTACATCAGTGCCACTGATAACAAGGTGCAATGGGGGTCATTGTTGGTCAACATTAGCGCTCATAATTAGATGAATCACTGCAAAATTAAAGATAAAATTGCAATCTTTAGCAGAATGCCGCTAACTGCTTAGTCGAGAAAATAGATATTTAACAGTCAATTAAAATATTCACAATTATTTTCTTGAAAGTTTTTTTTTTATTAATTATTTATGAAAATGTAAATCAAAGTTTCACACTTTATATAAAGTTCAGAAAAATTCAAAAAATTTCAAAATTTTTATTCAGAATTTCTTGAAAATTTTCGTGTATTCAGTTTTGTTGCCCGTTTAACTTTAGTTCACAAACATTCAAACAATTTTCATAAAAATTTAAAAAATTTTATCCAGAATTTCTACAAAATTTTCGAGTATGCAGTTTTGTAGTCCGTTAAATTTTTGTAAAACTAAGTGCAATTTTGAAGTCGCTAAAAATTATCGTTGATTTTTGAGGAGTTACCGTATATTTTTTATAAGGAAGAAAATGCGCAACGCCTATAAAAAAATTCTAAAAAATCAACAGTAATTTTTAGCGACTTCAACCTTGCACTTTGTTTTACTAAAATTGAAGAAAACTGCACACTCGAAAATAGACTAGAAATTCTGAACAAAAATTTTTAGATTTTTATGAACATTTTTTGAAATCCTGTGAACTAAAATTGAACGGGCTACAGAACTGCATACTCGAAAATTTTCTAGAAATTCTGGATAAAACTTTTGAAGTTTTTATGAAAACTTTTGAAATTTTTATGAAAACTTTTGGAATTGTTGTGAACTTTATATAAAGTGTGAAACTTTGGTTTATATTATAGAATGAACTATATTTTCCTAAATAACACAGGTTTACAAAAAAAAGTGTATGCATATTAAACCAAACCATGTAATGCGACATGCTGAATGCGAATCCGATGTCCGTCGTGGTCATTTCAAGGTTAAGCAGGGAAGAATTCATTGAATAAACCTGAAAATTCAATAAAATTCTTCTGAATTTGACCTTGGGATGACCTTGATATGACCTCTAGATGACCTTGAGGGATGAAGGGACCTCCATATTCGGATTCAGCGACAACAAAAACATTTTGTTTTTTGTTGAATAATTTTTTTGTCCTATTTGACCCTTAAATGACCTTGAAGCGGACATTATGAAGGTTAGCGGACCTCGGACTCGCATTCAGCGTGTCGAATAACATAGGGATATATAGGTTTGGTTTGATATGCATAAACTTTTTTTTTTGTAAAAATGTGTAATTAAAGAAAAAAATAAAAATAATTTATGAATATTATACTAGACCAAGGTTTACACTAACATTTGACGCTGACTATACATACATAACTAAATACACTGTCGACAAAAAGAAATGGCACAGCTTCTTTTTTACAATATATGCAACAATTTTTATTATAATATTTTCCCGACAATTTTTTACAAAAATATGGTTAATTCCGCAACAAAAAACATAAAAATATAATTTCTAAACTTTGTGCGAAATTTGCGAAAATTCAGCAAATTTTCGACTTTTTAATCAGATTTTTTTAGATTTTTTTTTTGAGTATAAAGATTTGCAGCCCAATCAATTTTATTGTAATAAAGTAGAAGTTCTAAGTTACCATTGATTTTTGGCAATTTTTTTTCACGCAGTCTCTTCCATAAAAAAAAAATTCGAAAATACTTTATATGGAAAAATGCAAAACACCTTCAACAAAAAAATCTCGCAAATCAATGCGCTTTTGGACTAAATCCGAACTTGCATTTCTTATATTAGAATTCAAGAAAATTCGAAGAAACTTCGAAAGTTTTGCACAAAGTTTAGAAATTATATTTTTGTGTTTTTTGTTGCGGAATGAACAATATTTTTGTAAAAAATTGTCGGGAAAATATTACAATAAAATTTGTGCAAGTTTAGAAATTTTATTTTTGCGTTTTTTGTTGTAGAATGAACCATATTTTTATAAAACATTAGCTGAAAAATATTAGAATAGAAATTGGTGCATATATTGTGCAAAATTCGCTGTGCCAATCCTTTTTTCCGGCAATGTATGTTTGTTTTGAGGTATTTGCCTTCCATGACTCACAAGAGTAAATAAGTGAATTGAATATCTCAACATATTTTTTATGAGAGGGTGTTAAAAGATTTTACTCCTAGATATTGGTAAATTCAGAATAAAATTAGGAAACCGCTTTCATAACTGTTTGACTCTAAATTTATTATAAGCCAAGTCTTTATTATGTATCAAAATTAGTAAATACTCGTGTTAATAGTATAGTTACGGTGACCATCCGTTCTGTTTTTTGCAGGACCGTACTGTTTTTCAAAGGTCGGTCCTGCGTAGTTTTTCAAACCTGAAAAACCTGAAAATGTACTGATTTTTTCCAGGTGTCCTGCATTTGTCCCGCATTTTAATCGTTATTTTAAAATTATCGGACAATGGATGGATTTTCTCAAAAAAAGTGTTCTTTGGTACTTCTCGTAGCTTTTCTTCAATATCTCTTGAAAAAATATCCCAATCAACGTAAGCGAGTTATGCTCGAAAGGTATTAATTTGCCTCTTACCAAAATATATAACTTGTGGCGACTTCAATGAAAATTATTAGTGCTACAGGTGACCATTTGCATTTTGTCATCAAAGTCGAAAAAAGTGAGATTTTCAATCAAATACGCAGTTTTATTCGATAATTTTTTTCATTAGTTTAAAAATTCGATAAAGAAGATATAACATTACAGTAAACTTTGAGCCAAAGATAATGAAAATCGGATTAGAAATGTAGATGCTATGGAGCGCAACCTGCACAACTTATATATTTTTGTAAATAATAATAATAATAGATTGGCGCTTACACATATGTTAGTGTTTGGCCGAGCTTCTCCTCCGATTTGTGGCGTGCGCCTTGATGTTGTCACACAAAGCGGAGGGACCTACAGTTTTACGCCGACTCCGAACGGCGATTGTATTTTTATGAGAAGCTGTTTTTCATGGCAGAAATACACTCGGAGGTTTGCCATTGCC